CAACTTTCCTCGGCCGGCGATCGGATCTAGGTGGCGGCGACTCACTCCGAACGATTCAAGAGCGGTGGCGCAGGCCAGCGACGACCAGGGTTGTCATGCTGGCGGCGGCGACGAAGAGATCACGTCGGCGGCTAGGGTGCCCGATCTGGATCCCTTTCGGATCTGGGTGGTGGTTCCTCGAGTCGTCGTGCGCACCCTTTGTTCCGGCACGACAAGCGGCCTCTGGACTAGGCCCGTGATACGAGGACGTCGGGGGCTCCGGCCCTGGGCGTGGAGGTGGTGGCCATCTTCTTCGCCGGAGGTGGTCGGCTAGATGGTTGTGGATTCTCGCATCTAGTCTTGGCGTCGAGTGGGGAGACGAGGCTGCCGGCGAAAACCATGCTATAGTCATGGCGGGCGATGACGGCGTTTAGCGTCGTTATCTTGTTGAAGACATCGCCACTGCAGCTTCTGTCGACTTACTTGCGCTGCTCTGGGTGAAAACCTAGACCCGGAGTTTCCGGATCGGGCGATGACGATGCTTTTGGCGTCGTTTTCCCCTATGGGGCATCGTTTTTGAGCAGCGGCTGGATGTAGGATCAGAGGACGGATTCTTTGAAGAAGCAGTGCGTCATCTCACTCATTGATGGCGGCGGGTCTCGGCGGCATGGTGCTGTGGTGACTCGCCGTCCGATGCGCGGAGATGGACTCGCGCAGGAGGGTGACGCGGCCTGGCGTCGTGGTGGCGTCGACGGCAGCTAGACCGGGCAAGGTTGATGCAGTAGTATAGTTCCGAAAATGGATTGGTGGCAGGTGGCTGCAGCGGCTTCATACCCGGCAGGCGTCCTGGTTGAGGAGTGCGCCGGACCGGTGGGTACCCCATACCCGGCAGACGTCCTGGATGGGACCTCGGGTCTTAGATGTTAGGTTTGGCTGCGAGGTCTGTTTGGTATTAGGCCCAGACTATCAGTATCCCTTCATCAACTGGGTAGAAGTACCGACAGATATTGCCTAGACGATGGCTTCAGTCTTATTGTTGTATGACTTTATAAGATTTTGTATGAATAATTAATAAAGTGACTGCATGCATCATCCAGATGCAGAGGCCGGGGGTTCTTCTTCATTTAAATAAAAATAATACCACTGCTGATAGAGTAGACAAGGGGGATCACAAACCACAAGCGCAAAGGATACTAGTACTTTTCTCCTTTGCCGTCCCTTGAAGCACATCGGTACTTATGCCCAGACCCATTGCGTAGGAAAAAAGAACACTTCTCCCATGAAGTGCTCCAACCGATGGAGCAACAACGGTTTTGCTTGCTCATGCCACTATTATACAAGAAATTAGCAACATTAGCGCTGCATGATATCCAATCATTTTCCAATAGAAGTTTGTCTGTGTCACACAGTCGGCGATTAGTGGGAAAAGTGAGGGGGAAACGGTTCTCATCACCCACAGCAATCACCTCATCATGGAGCACCTCATCGGCAGCAACAAAGCCAACAAGAAGCAACATGCATGCACGAGCACCGCCTGCAGGTGGTGTTTCTACGCTCTACCAGCTCAGGGCATCTTCATCCGTTTGGCCTCCCAGAGCGTCTAAATAGAGCGGCTTGAGAGCGTGCCGGCGCTAGTTCGGTCCCTGAGGGCGACCTAACTCCCAGTCACGCCCCCAAGCGCCGGCCTCAGAATGCGGGAAATTTAAACTTGGTCGTTCCCGCTCTCAAAAAACGCCACAAATCCGGCGATCGGACGTAGTCTGGCGTTACAAAAAACAGAGCGCCGCACGCCGCAGGTTCGCGTGTGCAATGATTCACTCGGCGGGGTCGGCTCCAGACGTTGGCGGAGTCGGCGTGCGCGGGCTCGGCGGTGTCGGAGCTGCTTCGGTGCTGGGTTGTGTCGGCGCGGCTTCGGCACTGCTGGGCGGCGATGTAGAGGCGTCGTTCGGACTTGGCGTCCGTGTGGTCGTGGGCATGGGAGCTTGCGTCGTCGGTGTCGTCGGCGTTGCCGTCTGCATCTGGTTCAGGATGAGGCCGCGCTCCGCCATGTACCACGCCCTGAGCTGCTCGTCGTTGCTCTGGAGCATGTCCGCCCCGCCCATCAGAAAAGCCATGTCGGTGTTCCTCTTCTTCGCGGCGACGTTCGTCCGGAGCAGGTCGACCTTGATGGCGCTGTTCTTCATCAGCGACGACCACCGCGCCTCGGTCTTCTCTTCACGTAGGACGGCCCGGGCCTGGGCGTCGGCGAGGCAATGCTCGATGGACTCCTGCACTCGCGTGGTTGCCGCGTCGGCGTTTTTCCCCTTCTTTGCCAATTTGTGGCCGTCCGGCCGCCCCTCTGACGCGCCCGGAGTCATCGCGTCCGGCTTGTATGTCTTCTTGGCCTTGTCGAGGGTACGTCGGACTACCGCCCACTTCTCGCACTTGTCAATGTGCTTGTAGACGTGGAGGTGCTTGAAGTCGGCGTCTTGGTTGTCGCGCCGATACATGGTGAACATACACAGCAGCTGCGCGGAGGAATAAACAGTTGGCGGGCGGCGGGCGTTGACGACGAAGAGATGCGGGCGAACGACGTGCGTACCTGATCCTCAACGCTGGCGCCGCTCTCCGGGCGAGCCGCGACCTCCTCGACGATTCCATGCCATTTGTTGCACGCCAACTGGATACGCCCCCAATGGTTCGCCATCGCCTTGGAGCCGCGCTGCATGTAGACGCCTTTGAAGTATGGGTCGACGAGCTTCCGCTCGTCGAACTCGGCCTTGATGCGGTCCCAGTACGTCTCGAAGCTCTGGTTCGTGCCGGTGGTCGGGTCGAGGCAGACGACTTTCCATGCTTCGGCGAGGCATTCTTCCTCCTTGGATGTCCATTTGATGCGCGCTTCGCCTGTCCTAGCCGCCCGCTTCTTCTTCTGGCGCCCCTTCGTCGGATCAGGAGCTGGCTCCTCCTCCTCCTCGTCCTCGTCCTCGTCCTCGTCCTCCTCCTCGGGATCCTGCGCTTCGTGCGCGTCTTCGCCGTAGACGTAACCGAGCTCGGCCTCCATGTCGCCGCTGAGATCCACTACCTCGTCCTGGGTTGCGAACCCGGGAGACGCGACGGCCGCGGTCGATCCTGTCGCGATGATGTCGTCCATGTCGGCTCCTGTGTCGTCCGTGTCGCCGAGGTGCGAGAAGGGCAGCGGCCCACGGCGGAGATGGGGCGTCGGTGTGGTCGCATAGGCGGCGGGCGGCGAGTAGTTGTATGGAGGGTACTGCACGCCGACGAAGGCGGGCGAGGGTGTGCGCGTCGCAGGGTGGCCATGGGGGAAGGTCACGTTTGGGTTGAACCCCCCGTGCGCGTCGCCGTCGGCGTAGCCGGGCGACGATGATCCCATGGAGATCTGACGCCTTGCTGTCCCCAGGGCGCGTACTGGGTGTGGCTGACGACGGGTGGATTCATCATCCCCGTGTGGTCGACCGATGAGGAAGACGCCGCCGCACGCGCCGCGTTGTCGCGGGCCTTCTTGGCAATGGCCCTGTTCCGCCGGTCGGTGGTGACTGCGTCGCGTCGCTGAACTTCCACTCTTCACTCGGCGTTCGACATGCCCGGTGGCTTCGATGGCGGCGCCCTCGGCTTCCTCTGCTTCGGCTGGGCCACGGTGCCAGTCGTGGTTGCCGTCGCGCGCGGCATGGCGTACTTCTTCGGCGGCATGGCGGCGACTGGAAGGCGAGCTGGAGGGGGTTTGGCGGGAGAAAGGGAGGGAATGGCGGGAGGAAGGCGAGCGAGCGGAGGAGATGCGAGGGAAAAGCGTCAAGAAGCGGCGGGAAAAGGCCCTCGGGTCGCCGCCAGGGCAGGCCCACGCGCCTTTTTTGCTTGTGCCGGCTCCCCAAACGCCCCCCAGGGCGTCGGGTTCGGACTGGGTCCGCCGGCACCAGTTTTGGCCCAAGCCGACGAAAAACGGGATTCTGGGGACGCGACTGTGCCATTTTTTTGGCGCCGGCACGGTAAAATCGCCTGGGAAAAGCCTGTTGGGGGCGCGACTGGAGATGCCCTGAGCTAGTACTGCGGAATCATGCATGCTCAAGCATACATGGGCATGCAACCACTAGACTACACCACACTTTTGCTTCCGCAAGTTGCATTGGGCACCTGCTGGGAAGACTCACATTTTTAGACCACCCCCCCCCCCAACAGAAGAGGCTGTTGGATTGCACAAGGGCGTCGGCCGCTCCTTGAACTCTTCTCCCGCCACTTGGCTTCTCTCCACTTAGTTTACTTTCAGGTGGCCGGACAGGTTGCGCGCCTTGACAAGATAAAGATTTCCTGGGATCATCTTGGACACCTCACCTCATCATTTGATATGGTGTACAGTACCATGCATCTAGATGTTGACCCCCTATATATACATGGCGTTGGCGTGTAGCAGTAACGAACCATTCACGTGTAGCGTGTAAAACGTAAGCACGTATCTATACAACCTCTACAAAGAAATATAAAAACGTTTAGATCACTATTTTAGTGAAGTAATAACGTGTTTAAACACATCAATCCACCTCTTGATGAAATGCACGCATACCCTCCAATCAACAAGCGGTTGGTTGGTGCCTTACTCCTTTTCTGGAAGAGGAGAGGGTGATTTGTTGATGTACCAACGTCACCTGAATTTGGTTGCAGTCAGGAGCAGATTAGGGCATCCTGGGCAATCAAACTTAATTAACTGGGACCATCAATGAATCAAATAAGCTAAAAGATATCCCGGGAGACGCGGCCATGCTACCTTCCTATCGTAATCCAAGTTAAGTCCGGATTAGTTTCTCAGTCAGTCGCATGGAGAATCAGCAAGTACAATTCCATTCCTTCATTGCCTTGCAGCAAGCAAGGGAGAGCCGGACAGGTCCACTGTTGTAATCTGAGAGAGATTTCTTTTTGAGCAATGTTAAAATTGCTCTTTTTGAGATGTCAATTCTGCAGTTACAGAGGAGAATGTTAATTAAGCTCGATGAGGATTCGAGTCTGCTGGGATGTAAAAGATTTCGGAGTTAAGCGAAAGAGTAGAGATGCATATGTTACTCTTTCATCACAGCACAGCTCAGTAGCGAAAGGAAATGCGCAACTAGAGTACCAGGCACACACCACACCAAACAAGGATTCAGACTCCTCGGCTTATTCAGAACATGCTTCAGATTGATTGTAGCTACAACAACTTGGAACACAAGAGGTTACTTCTAATTTCAAAAAGAAAAGCGCACTCTGACAGAAAAAAATTGTAGCTACAATCTGGAGAGCTTACTTCAGATTTACATACCACAACCGAATGCTGCTACTTCTCCCATCAACAAGTTGGCAACATGTTTCAGTGAAAATACTCTACTTCAGCTGCTCTGGACGCTGCAAGGTTTCCACAGCCAGAGCAAACGGAACACAAGAAAACAGCGTCGTCGGTCCATCGCCACCCGTGGTTTCGGAATCTGCCACTTCAACTGCAGGAGGGCCGCGCGTTGTTCTTTCTGACTATGTTAGTCATGCAGCAGCAATGTACGTAAGTCTTACAGCGGCAATGTAGATGCTTCTTCTGTAGTGCCGATTCTTGCCTGCTGAGAGCCATTAGGCTTTTTCTTGAGAGCATTCTTCACCTCCTCCTCCCTCTTGTCAACAAAAGAGATTAGCGATTTGATGCTGGTTAGCCTCGCTGGCCGGTTCACGATCGCCGCTTCAACCTCAACCTGGTTATTATACTTGCTGTACTGAAACAATATTCGCCAGAAGAAAATCAGGAGAGCAATGGCACATGCAAGGCCACACACCACAAACAGGCCCCAGAAGCTTGACAGGTTCAAGGAGTTTGAACCGAGCTCACTATCATCTGACTCACATCCTTTCTTCCCACTTAACCATTCATCATGGATCCTTTGGAGGTCGCCGTTCTCTGATAGTGTAAGGATTGCTGTCGACAAGTCCTCGGCAAGAGGAGAGTCTCTTGGAAATGCCTGCAGCAGAAAATAGTACAATAGTAAGATATTTAGGAGAATAAAAGCCAGTTATTTGATCCTTCTTTTTTTGAATTGGAAGAGTTATCAGATCATAATTAATTAACTTACAAATCCCCATCCACCTTTTGTGAAAACCTGACCGACCGTCTTGAATTTACAGTACTTTGACAAGAAGATCTCAACGTATGGCAGCTCATCGATTATTGCAGCAACACCACCATTTCCAGACCCTAGCTCTAGTGCTCTTGCGTAATCAGATGGGCTGTTTAGTGGCACCAGACGGGAATCCGCGATATTGAGCTCCTCCACAAGATAATTTCTGGCAAACGATCCAACTTGATAACCAATTGCGCTTGAACTAGAGATCAAACTATCAAGACCTTTTATCCCCGATGTTAACTCCTGAACAGTGAGAAGTGATGTCAAGCTTGCCGTGTAGCTTGAGTTAATAATGAGCACAACAAAGAGCCACACAAGGAGCACAAATCTGCCAAGTGCGCTAGAAGTGTTCTCTCCTGTGTAAACCAACAAAAAAGTGGATATAAGAGTGAACCAAAAGAGTCTTTAATATCTTGACAAGTTTGATTTCAGAACTTACTGTGTGCGAAAAACATGGTTGAAAAGCTAAACCTGAAAGGTGCAGAGCAGACATCATATATCAGATAACAAAAAAACTTGCACACTTTCAAAAACAGAAATGTTATGCAATACATATACTAACCAGCATACTGTCATAATTTGTTGCCTTGGGGTTCCGCGGAACTCAGTATTAGTGCGGTGTTCAAGGATCCAAACAACTGTACCCACAAAGAGGAAGAGCAAACCTAGAACACACCACATCTGAAAGGTGAATGGTTTCAGAAAAGCCCAAGCGTTTGATCCAATCTCCCTTGCTGGAGCTACAATAATGAGACCTGATTCTGTATATGGCTGAGTAAAATCAACAAGTCTTGTTCTATTTGTCACAATAGAGATGTCCCCTATGGCAGCATCAAAGTACTGAGTGGTACCAAAAGAGAAGAACAAAATTAATAAAATCCAGTATAATAAAGATGGTACAATAGTTTTTCAGACTCAATGATATGGAGATGGTACTCACATTTTCGGACACCTTTTGTACAAGGTCACTGTAGCTCGGATTTTTCAAACCATCTCCAAATAAAACAAAACTGCATCCCACAGGGTAAGGCAACAAGCTTATTGCAGATTTGAAAACATCAACTGAAAACCCCTTTACCCCATCAGGCCCATCGTCTTGCATCACGAACTCATTGTAGCTTGTACGCAGAGGAACACCGATCCTTAAAAGCTTCCCATGGTACGGAAACACCCAACCACGGGGTTTCTCAGCAGTCTGACCAGGCCAGATAACATCATGGAGCTGCATATCATTGGTTGTAGAGTCCAGTGATACTGAATGCAAGTCTTCTGGAGCAGCAACTGAGAGACCAGAAAAGTTTGACCAATGCCCAATGGTTCTGAAACCAGTACCACCGATATTCAGGATGTCATAAGCTGGATGGATCAAATTCCCGTCCAAAGTAAATTGTACTTGGCCTGAAACCCCTGTGAAATTTGCCTGCAACACTTTCTCCAGTAATTTATCTCCATTGTTGAGAATTCTGAGAGAATCTAACTGAAGGCTACTTCCTTTTATAGCTTGCAAATTTTGGTTTGCAGAAAAGGATACTGCATTCCCTGCACTCAGAAACTGCTCAACTGCATGAGCAACTAACCATACGGAGTCATAAGCATGTGCAGTGTAAGAACTGAAGCTCGAACGGGTTCCTTTCCTAGTCAGATTGTTCAGTTTGGGCAGCAAGGACTGCTGAATGCCAGAGTCAGCAACATGTTGCCGGAGAGTAATAACCCCCTGCGTATGTTCTGTCGCATCAGAATCAACATGCGCAGGTGAATCTATCACTGCAGAAAGCCAGTCTGTTGCTATCCATACATAGCCGCTATTCATCATCCCTAAAGATTTTGCGGCGGAGAAAACTGTCATCCCAGAGTCAGGGTTCACATGGACAACATAGACACGGGACTCCATTTCATTCACTTGCATCAAGACATCCTGGATTGCAGTCCTTCCAGCATGAGGTGGCAGTTTTGCTTTGTAGGCTATCTTGGCCATATTTTTTGCAAGGGCATCACCTAATGCCGTGATGCCGCCTCTGCCATAGTCATCATCAACATAGATGGCGATGACTTCTCTCCATTGATACTGACTGATGATACTAGCCACAGCAGACATTTGGTAGTAATCACTTTGTGTAGCCCTCACAAAGTAAGGGTATTCAAGGGAAGAAAGGGTAGGATCGGAGGCTGCGAAAGAGATAAGTGGGACTTGGAGTTTGTTAGCAGCATGAGAAATGATGTGAGCAATTGCGGATGATTGTGGACCTAATACAGCGATGACATCCTTGGCCAGAAGCTGCAATGCTGCACAGGTAGCATTAGTTTATCAAACTCTTCCAAGATTTGAATGGGAGATTAATAAATCATATGTTCACTTATAATTTAATAAGTAAAAGAAAACTAAGGAAAGTTACAATTAGAAAAGATGATCTGCTTAGGACTCAAATTTGCACAGTTGCCGTGATATCATGGAACTACCTTATATAGCTTTGCAACTTTCCAATCCAAATTTCCTCTGTATCTGAATTTGATTATGGTGTTGGCTACCAAGATTGAGTTAAAAAGAAGTACTCCCTCCGTAAAGAAATATAAGAGCGTTTAGATCTTTACTGAGGGAGTACAAAAGAAATACAACACGTGCAAGGAAAGAAACCTCAAGCAAGCAGATTAAAATGGCAAATTGCTAATTTAAATACGATAAGGTTCAAATATCTTCACCAATTGCTACTCATGTCTAGTTATTAAGCGTAGCTAGAAACCTAACTTGCATATCTAGCAGTTTTGTTTGGGTCTGGCTTTGGCTTTATTTTGCTTGCTTCTCTACATAAGTTTTGTTTCAGTTTTGGTCGCAGCAAGGCTTGTGACATGTACTTTGCACCTTCTTGGCGGTTTATTCTAATACAGAATGACGTACGCTTTGGTGCGTGCTTGGGGGAAAATATGTCAGGTAATATTCACCAACTTCTATCTTATGTCTAGTTACTAGCAGGAGAAAAAAAAACTAACTTGCATATCATTATTCTTTGATTTGATACTAAACTAACTTGCAGATATAGAATCAAGACAGATTTGGAAATGAAAAACTGATGAAAGAGAAAGATGTATGAACCTTCAATGGTTCCAACAAAGCAACTGCAATTGGTGTCCTGCATAAGAAGACTCAGTTTTGTCCCGGGGAGTAGGGTTGGATCAGCATTGACATCCGCAACAGCGAGCTCGATAGCCGGCTTCACTGCCCTCCCGATGACCGAATCAAATGTGAAGAGCGCACCGATGCGCACCTCAGCCGGCCTCGACACGCCATTGGTGCCATTCTGTCTACCAGCTATGGCACCGCCGGCAATAATGGAGACACAGAGCAGCAGAGCAGCAAGGTGAGCAGCAGTGCAGCCCATCTGCACAAACCACAAAGCAAGAAAGCACAAGTGGCTTCTTGACCTCCAGAACCAGAAGCTAACACGGATACTGTGTTCTCGATCTAGACGACATCTGTTTCCACCCAAAAGAAGGAATTTAGAGGCCGAGATCGCACCGAGGAACCAGGAGAAGAAGCAGGAGAGGAACGCAGGCGATGGAAATGTTCCTGCTCTGCCCGTGGCCGCCGACCAGCTGCTCGACGAAATGCTCAGCAGGACGAAGTGGCGGCGCAGCTCACCTGCGACAGCAAAAGAGGAACGGAACGCGGCATCATTCGGTTGTCCAACGAGCTAATCGATTTGCTTGCCTGAAGAGAAGAGAAGACGAGGATCATCGGGCGCTTACCAACGGAAGCCAAAGAGCTCCGCCGAGAACACCACGGAACCTCGTTTGGTTTCTTGACCTTGCTGGTGATCCTTGGTGCACGAGGAGGGAAATGCTACGGTCTCTCGGTTTTGGGGGGATATTTGTAGCCATTCTCCGGGCAAATGAAATGCCTGCCTGCCGAGGCCAGGCAGTGGCTGGCACTGTGACGGCGACCGCGGGTGCGAGACGATCGTGGCCTCGTGGGGGCATGATAAAGCGGCTTTCTTTGCTGCCCTCGGCGATTGGATTCCTTTCAGCCATAAAGAGGGAAATGGGAGACACCCGGAAGCTTTGTGTCGCAGACGTCAGGCTCAGCAAAGTTCAGCTTGGACATTCTGACACTGGGTAATACTCTATCTTGCTAGGAATATTGTTAATGCTTTAAGACCCTCTCGAATATCTGCTACTCCAGCAGTACTACTAAAGCTCCCCTTTCTAAAATATTCACATTCACCAAAGCCATGTGCATCAAACCATACAGATACAGTGCACTGCTTTGTGTTGGTTCTATATGACTCCACTGTTATCAATATGTCAGTCCTTTTATTTATCTTTTATCAGACTATTAGTGTTTAGATCTATGCATCCTAATTATGCAGAGGTCGAGTGTTGCTCACTATGTTTTGTATCCCCTTAAATGCTTGATGCTCTATTTTGAGTTAACAAAAAACACTCTTTATTGAAAACAACGTACTTCACAAAACGCTAATTAAGCCCTTTTCTTCTAACCTACTCATGCAAGACTGAATGCCCAGCGATGGACATCATCCTTCGACCCGTCAACGCTCCTCCAAGGAAGGCCAACAACACAGGAAAGCCAATGAAACATTATTTTCGTCACCGGCGCTGCCCTAACTTCACTAGCGACAAAGAACTAAAAAGCCCCTACATGACACAAACCAGACACATACCTAATGTTCCCACTCTTCCACGCCGTAGTGACCGGCGGAGGGTAGGGGGACCCACAGTGGCACCAACAGGCCGAGGGGAAGTGTCGCCGCCTCCGGGTCGCCTTCTGCTCTCAAAACCCTATAACTCCTTTTCTTTTCTTCCCGGCCTCGAAATACAAAAAAGTTAACTCTATTTATTCCTTGCTCCATGCCACTTTGCCCCATTTGGGTCATGGGGCCGCGACCATGGTGCGGTCCTCCACCTAGAGTTTGTGCAAATACTGTAGTGTGGCGCGCCCCTGCCTGTGCGACTGGAGGAAGATGGCTCGGGGCTGCAGGTTCTCGGTCGCGTGGGAGTTGGAAGATGTGTTGCGTTCTCTCGTTCACGCGGGTAGTTGGTGGACCGTGCCGTTTCAGCTATGATGTCGAGGTGTTGCGGCGATGGCAAAGTGATCCAACTTGGACGGTGTTGCCCCAATCCGATGGGCGGGGGTGGAGGTGTGCGGTGTTACAAATGAAAGTCCTTCCCGCCTTCAATCGGTGTCGGCAGGGACAAAACCCGTGGGTTTTGTTCCCCTCTTTGGAGGCGTCATCGAGGTGTGTCGGCATCTGCCCCCCTCCCCTCGCATTTGAGTTTGCTTGTGTATCTCCGGGTGAAAGCCTAGGTTCAGTTTTCTGAATCGGTAATGGCGGCATCCTCGATGTCGTTCCTCTGTTGGGAGCATCGTGTACGGAGACATGGCTTGAAGGTCATGTGTGGGGCTCCTTTTTTGTGCTCGTTGCTGTCCCAGGTTGATCTTCAACGATACTATATAGGTCGTAGCTGATGCATCCAAGACGATGCCTTCCTCTAGACCAACCAATCTTGCCACCTACTTGACGATGTGTTGTCTTCGGGGGCGACGCTGTTGGTCGAGACACGGCTTTGTCTTTCGGCTTAGAGTAGACCCATGTGTTGTGGTGGCTTGTCTCCAGGCATGCCCTAGTGTTGAGTCTACTATTTTTGTTATTCACAATAAGGGTAGTCTTTCATAACTTGTTTCTGCCTTCTATAAGAATATAGTACGCGTAGGCGAACTTTTGGAAAGAAAAAAAAACCTAGTTAGCACAATCTGGCGCACGAGGTATTATAGCAGCATTGGTGTTGCGCGGGGTCGATTTCGTTTGCTGTCACCACATACCAGAGTTTGAGTTAATGCAACCTTTCGGTTTGTTAGGCTGGCGTCTACTCCCTTGCCAAGCTTAATGATGTGTCACACGATTTCATGCGTTATGGGCACACTTATCCGCCAAATTTTGAGGCTGTTTGAAACCTGAGTTTACCTCAATCATGCAAAAAGGATGTGCCAAGCATTGTCACACTAGTACCAGTAGCATTCGGTCATGTCATCGTCTCATCAATTACGTGCCGTTCGCCACTCTTTCATGTCTTCCTTTTGCGACATGTGATAAAGGCCCCTTACTTAGAGTAGTAGCAATTTACAGGGAGTGCATGCGGATGAATCCCTCGGCTGGCCGGCTTCGTGCCGTCCCAGGACGCGGGGAAGCAATTTGAGTAAGCACGTAAGTTTTTTTCTTTATTTGTGCTCAACAAGTTGGCTGCTGTCGAAGAATGTTTGTTTATGATCCACCTGATATTGAACATATAAACCCTTCTAAACTCGTAGTCACAACCGTTGCCTCCACGTCGCCTTTAAATCGCTATGCCACCGCCTGTTAATTCGGTGCCCCGCCGGGGGCATTTTAATAATTTCACGTCTAGATGTATAAAACTCAGTCGCTCAGTTGACGAACCGTAGCCGTCGCCCGCTCCCGCACTCTCCTCCCCCTCCTGCCTCTTCCCTTCCCCGCCTACTCCTCCTGTCGCCGCTGCCGCCTCCGCTCCTGCTGTCGCCACATCGCCGCCCCAAACCCCTGCCGCATCGGAGAGAAATCCATGGCGGCGGACAAGCCCGGCGGCGGCGGGGCCTCCTCCTCTTCGCCCGCGTCCACCACGGACCGACCGCGTCAGCAAGAGGAGAGGAGCAGCAGCCGCAGCGCGTCCTCAGTCCGGCCTCGATAAGAGAAGGGGAGCAGCAGCCCAGCCACGCTAGCTGGCGCGCACCTCGTCGCCACCTCTCCTCACCTTCTCCCAGGTTCCTGATCTGGAGCGGGAGGGAGGCCAGGCTACCCTTGACACGCATGTACTCCCCCTTTCCCCTTTGTGCCCTCTCTCTCTCTTCCCCGACCTCTCTTTCTTGTTACACACAGATTCGTTGGAGCAGCACACCTGGTTTTAGATCTTTCTTAACTTCTCCTATTTGCTATTGTTGTGTCAGAACTGATGGATATCAAGGATTGCTGCCTTCAAGTTATGTTTCCCCGTTATAAGGACTCCATTCAATTGATTTTTTGTTATGGCTGCAGATGTGGAATGTTCTCACTATCAACTCTGGAATAACTAGCAAGTAGTGGTGTCAATGGCATCCGTGGGAGACATTTTGGTGGCACATGGACATCACGTTCTGGAATAAAGTAAGTCTCACAATCAACTTGGGAAGATGAGGTAGGCTGCCTTCAATTTTCTATCTGGGTAGCAGCAACAAATTCATGAATCTACCGCTTGTTGCCTTTATTATTGTGATCTATGCAAAAAGTAAATTTTGCTTGAAGATTGCAGCACACACGGATTGCTTGGCAGACTAAAATAAGTAGGAGCTTCTGATTGGACCCTTCAAGCAATAGTGTTGTTAATATATTAGTTATTATATTATGTTACTAGAGCATTAGAATAACTTCCTGATATATGTGTTTATATGATTTCTGACATTTACTGCAATAATATTGATGGCCAGGCACTATACTGTGCATAAACAAAAAAAAAATCAGTTTTTCTTTTCGTAGTTGCAGCAATTTTCCTGTACCAATAGTGTGACACTACACTACTCTTCATTTTTACAGGCCATGGAACAATAAATAACTTGGCAACGGATACCCTGTGGTCTACAATTATACTGTAATTATGTGTGCACTTTGGATCTATTGGATGTCTAAATGTATTGTTAATCGACAACTACTAATGCAAAGGTATGTTCTATTTGTAATATGAAATGATTCTTATTTGTACCTCCAGCAGTCCTTCTCACATTTTCTATTTGTAATATGAAATGATTCTTATTTGTACCTCCAGCACTCTTCTATCGCTCCTTTTAGAACTAATGACATAAAAAATGTGGTCTGGAGTCTGGTCGTGTTTGAACAAAGTTGGTCAGAATGATATAGTTGTTTTCTTCAAGTTCATTATATTAATTTTTTCAGTATATAGATTATTTATTTGTTCACACAATACATGGCAGGAGATGTGTATCGAGAGGCACATGAATATGCATGTGGGCTCTTTTTCAGCATGGTAGTCTAAAAAACTGTGGTATTCTCAGAACACGTAGAAAATGCTTTGCTATCAAACCGGGCAAGTGCAGATTTCCTTGAATATAGTTTATTTTACAATTGTGTTGCCAACGTGCTTCCATTGTTTTATCACCATAAAATAGTTCTAGGTGCTCATATAAAATTTAGTGGCGTGTATGGGTGATTGTAGTGCAGTTTTGTTTATCTGCTTGCATTTTCAGCATTATAGTGTTGATATACTATCTCAATAAAACAGTGAATACGTATAATATGTACAAGCTACATTCAAGTTATGGCAGTGTGCCTGGGTAAGATGAACTTGTAATCTTCTGCTA